GTATACGTTTACATGATACGAATATTACAGGGACTTTGTATTGTCACATTAAGTTTTCATGTTTCTTTTTATGAAAAACAAAAAGACTCGGTTTATTATACAATAAACAGCAGTAAGTGGAAGTCCTCGGTACACATAAAATCTATTAACTTACTGTTTAATCGTTTTCCACACATTCACATTGATCTACAAATTCACCCCTCACCTTGTGCTGCAATGAAGCGTTGGTCGAGAAACAGAAAAATCAGGAAGGGCACCATTTTCCCTCTTAATTCATTGTATAGAATTCCAGGTGTGTATGTACAAGCATAGAAAACAATTGAAGTTAGACTTCAATTGTTTAGTGCTGAGAAAGTGCAGGAGATCCTCTGACTGCGCGTTGCAGTTTTCTTTTCCTTTCTTTTTCTTGGTGCTGTTTTCAGGGTGGAGCGAGTTTTTCCGCGCAAGGCAGGGATCACACCGAGTTGAAACAATTTAGCACGTAATATGCTTGGTGTACTTTTGTTGCGCTCCCTCATGTCGCTGATAGTTTTTGGTACTTTTCAGATTATTTTTTGGGGGGAGATAATTTATTCTCACAGATTAAAAAAAAACAACCCTGTAAACAAAAACCTCTAGAACGTTAAAATGTCGGTCATTTAATCACCAACCAGTAGCATAATGTTACTACTGACACTGTAATCCGCAAAACTGTCTGCTTTTGTGGATTATAAATGTGTCCCCTTACAGACCAGGAAACGGTGTTTATGCTGTACCGTGGTGAGGGTGCTATTGTTGATAATGGGTGTGAATGGTCTGTAACAACACTCAGCTGAGCAGAATATGTCACATGTTAACCAGTTAAAATGATGAAAACCCTTAAGCTGTTTTTCTGATTATTGTTGTTGTGGTTTTATTTACTTGCTTTCGTTACAGTTTGACTGTAACGAGAGCACAGACCGCGCAGATAGTCAGTAAGAGTTGATTTTATTGGCTTGGTGCTCTCTCAGAGAGCCAATCAACGCACGCGTTTGTCCGGCGTGTGGGTGCAGCCAACAGGAAGATGTGTTTTGTATTACGTAGAGATTTGTAGTTTTTTCTTCTTCTTTTGGTATGGTACTTTGCCTCCCTCTAGTGACTTACACAAAATAGAGCGGTCAAGTGAGCAATTACTGTTGTAGAGCACTTTTCTGTAACAGAAGGCGACACTCTTAAAGATCATTTTCTGTGAAAGAAGAATAGAAAGAGTCAGTTGCTGCCAACACCGACCCTGTTTTGTGAACTTTAGGGTAACCGCTGGGTTAGCTGGAGTTGATACCCAGGTTCATTACATCGTTTATCCTGATCACCAATGTTAGTATAAGTGAATCAAGATAACGGAAAGATACCCTGGATATGTTGAACGAGCTTGATATTATAAGGTCAAGGATGAGTGGCAAAGCTGGTTATCAGCTCACTAAGTTAACCAATCTAGGTACAAGTGTGTTCACATGAAGCAGGTGGTGTTCACAAAGGAAGATAAGTGTAACGTTAGAAAAAATTGAAGAAGTCATGCAATAGGAATAAAAGTAACAAAGCTGCTGTAAACACATCAGTGATGTATGTCATTAAATTAAGTTTTAAATGGCAGTTTTAGTCTTGATTCTTAATGCTACAGTCAGAGAATAAAAACAGAATTCAAATGCATGGCTAATCTAATGTCCATTCAAATGTGTGAATTCAAAGTATGAATAGGTGCTCTGTAGGATCATATATTAACACTTATAAAACAATAAAATGTTTTTATTTTTTTATTTATTTTTTTATTTTGGGGGGGGGAGCAATAAGGGAGGTTACGGGGTAATAAAGTTGGAGATACGAAGCTCGATTAATGATCAAGAGGGGAAATGCATAGACAGACACTACTGAAAAATGTTAGACCCTCCCTCTATCCACACACAGGAATGGTAATGCAATTTTTCAAAGGTTCACAACATAGGTTAGTATGGTGATTTACCCTGGTTAAAAGTGAACCTCTTTCATAAAACCAGGGTTAACCCCAGAAGTAACCTGGATGAGTCACTGTGCTGCTGGTCATATAACAACACACCATGTTAGGTTAAAATATAAATAAAAAATTTCAACCTCCTGAGTAAGCACAGTTCAACATTAAAAAAAGAAGAGTAAGAGTATTGAAGAGTATTGAAAAAAGAGAAGTAACTAATAAGATCATATTTCAGTAATTTCCAAAGCCCATTGAGTAGACAAGTATATGTTATTATAGCATGCTGAAAAAATGAGTATCATTAGGGAGAAGGGCATTTTATTTTGTGTATGTTGCGTTGTTGTGCCTGTGACTGTGAATTTGGGAGTTTGGGAGGAGATGGATATGAATTTATCAGATGCATATCTTTAATTTTACAAACAGTGGGTTTGTTTCTAATAAAGTTGCAGCTCAATGAATTACAGTATGTTATAGAATAGGATAGGATGCCACCTGTACAGTGCAGTAATGAAATTTCCTTAAATATTCTACAGTCAGCTGTTAGTGGTATTATAAAAAAAAGTGGACCACAAAGTAGTGGATCACGTAAAATCAGAGCATGGTGAGCAGACTGAAGCACAGTGCGCAGAGGTCACCAACTTTCTGCAGTGACAACCACATACAGACCTCCAAACTTCACATGCCCTACTCTTAATGGTTCAGCATACCAAGACATTTTTTATAATTTCCTGTTCCCAACTTTGTGGGAATAGTTTGGAAGTGGCTGCATTCCTTTTTGGCATTCGTGGTTCTCCACACTTCTTTATTAACTCACATGATCGCATTATCAAAGTGTGACATTAACAAGAGTGGCCATTAGGTGTCCCCGTCGAGATGGCTGTTAGATTGGTTTGAAGTCTCGACTAACTGAGAGAAAAAGAGTGTTTGGTCTGTGAGACAGAGCCATTCTCACCCATCCTCTGTTAAGTGAATGAAAGACCAGTCATTAATCATTCCCACCTGGCACACCTGAAAGAGGGAAAGAGAAAAAACAGAAATAGGAGGACGACAGAGAAACAGAGAAAAACAGAAAGGAAGCAAACACAGGGGTGGGCCTGTAACACATGGGGAATGCATATGTAGAGGAAGAGGGCGGGCTTTACTTCGTATCACTTTAAAATAAGAGGAAAAAATCAAATTAGTGAGAAGGAAAATGAAGAACCCATCTATACAATGTAAGTAAAAAAAAGTACTCTGACTGTGTGCTTTGGTTGGTAATTGAGGATAGGATTTGAGATGGTGATAGAGAGTTCGGGATACCATAAAAAATGGTGCTAACCAAGCACCAATTAATTTTAGAAGGTAATACAAGAGTGTGAGGAGAATTTTTAATTTTCCTTGCTTGTAAGTTTGACAAAAAGAAACAAAATAACTTACCCTGTTCCTGTTTTAAGCAGACAAATGAGTCTAAGCTGTGATTTAGAAGTTGTGGTTTTGTTATTTGTGTCCCAAGCATAGCAAAGGAAGAAGGTGTAAAATGAACATTAATGGCATCAAATATAAGTGGAGCATAAATGATAACTGAAGAGAAGATTTGACCTTACAGACTGAGTGTTAGAGTGGGGGTGTGTGGGTGAGGAATAGGGATAATTATGTTTAGTTTAAATTCTGTTGATCTGCTGAGTGGATCTACTGAAACTCTTTAAATTACATTTACATTTAGTTTTCGGTTCAGTTTTAATGACCCCAGTTTATCTATGGTGGCAAAGACCCTAAAATTATGTGTAGGATCAAATTTCGGATTTTTGTATGCTGATGATTCAAAGATTCAAAGCAAAAATACCTTTGAGACATGAATGATCTTATAATGCAGTGCAATGCATATTCTTAAGTCAACCAAATGCATTTAGAGTCAGGGCTGCAATTTGACAACGAAATTTTATTATTATTATTATTGTTATTATTTCTTTTTAAATTTTGCATCTGGATGTCACCACAGTTGATTTTTATAAAACAATAATCAAGTGTTAATAGTAAATAATAATAGTTCAATAAGTTCCAAATATTGTCATTAATTTGATAGGTTTAACAAAAGTATTGTATTAGCCTTCTAGGAATTACATCCATGTTTATACACAGTCTCCCATTTTCAGAGATAAAAACAGATGAACAGTTCCTGTGTTATTCCATGATAGATTCAGCAGATAAGGAGTGGTGGAGGCAGAATACTCTGGTTTCTCCTTTTTCTCCATTCTACCTTCTGTTTTTATTGTATCATGGTATTAGTTGCTTTAGCAACAATTAATGGGCATTTTAATCTTCACAGCTCGTCTGACTGTGAGTCCCAGCAGCTCTCAGCTCTATAAAGGAGACTTTGTGTCTCTGAGCTGTGAGGAGGACGACAGCTCTGCTGGATGGACTCTGAGGAGAAACACAAGCAAACAACACAGAACTCAGTGTGGAACAAATGGGTTTGGAAAACGAGCTGGTTCTTCCTGTAATATGCAGAACGTGTACCGATTGGACAGTGGAGTTTACTGGTGTGAGTCCAGAGAGGGTCCCATCAGTAACATGGTTAACCTGACAGTCACTGGTAAGCTGAGTGTGTGGAGTCAGTGTTGATGAAGCTGTGTGTAAATGGATGAAATGCTGTAGTTTGTCTCTGTGTTGAGGTGGATCAGTGATCCTGCAGAGTCCTGTCCTCCCTGTGATGGAGGGAGATGACGTCACTCTGCTCTGTAAAACAAAGACCACTCCCTCCAACCTCCCAGCTGCTTTCTATAAAGATGGCTCCCTCATCAGGAAGCAGCCTACAGGTCACATGACCATCCAGCATGTTTCCAGGTCTGATGAAGGCCTCTACAAGTGTAACATCAGCGGTCATGGAGAGTCTCCATCCAGCTGGATCACTGTCACAGGTGACACACTCACCTGTCTGTGTTTCTGCAGCTTTCAACATTCACAATGTGACGACAACTTAATGACTGTGTTTGTTTTATTTTAGGGGAGCACACCACCACACCTCCACCTACATCCACACCTCCACCTACATCCACACCTCCACCTACATCCACACCTCCACCTACATCCACTGCTCCTCCTGCTTCTATCTCTATCACTGTTTCTCCATCACTCTCTCCTGCTGTTCTCTCTGTGATGTCAGTTTTTGGATCACTGCTTCTTATGGTTCTACTGGTGTTACTAATTCTACTGATGAGGCGATTTATTCACAGAAAACCTGAAGGTGAGGAAATTTTCATATATATATATATGTGTGTGTGTGTGTGTGTGTGTGTGTGTGTGTGTGTGTGTGTGTGTGTGTGTGTGTGTTTTGCAAACGTATTCTGTTGTTCTTTCTGGACATAAATGAAGTATACATTGTGACACTCATGAAGTAATTATACTCATTTTTATTTTGGTTCATTTCATCGTAACCTGAAGAAGACGACATCAGAGATGATATCAGATACAGTGAAATCAAAATCTCAAATCCTCATCAACAGCCAATGAGGCTATATCAAAAACCAATAGCCTAGGCAAATGTTGAAAACTAGGTTCAGAAAGTCTTATTAGTGAATGACTTGGAAAAAACCTTTCATTTCTAAAACATCTGCTTCTAGGTTTTATCTTTTTGATTGAGGGGACACAACAAAGCTCTTCTTTGTGGATGTTATCTTCGTCAATAAACACAGTGGTGGCTTATTAGAACTTGAATCCAGAATATTGTGTAATAAGAGGACAAAACTCTGTCAAGGCACATCATTCTCAAGGCACTATTCACTTGGGAATATTATTATATTCTGTTTATATATTTATTTTATTTCATTTTTTTTAAACATACTATACGAAGTTTTTAGTGCAGTAAAAATCAGACAAGGGTAGCATGAAAGAAAAAAAAGCAACTATTAATAGAAAAATTGGATTATTCAGTGTATTCAGATACACAGCTGCCCTCATTTTTTAGGCACGTAACATTTCTGGACCCAAAACTTCATTTTACTGCTACTTGGTCACGTTTTTTCTGCTGGCTGTGTATTTGTCATCAGTGACATCAGTAGTGGCTCATCCTGCAGCATTCTTTGTTCTTGAGATGCTTTTAAAGAGTTGAGACATACTTCAAGATGACAAACTGATTGTTTTTCAGGTCACAGACAGGAAGGCAGAGATAAGGAGACAGGACCTGAGATTACAAAACCAGATCAACACATTGTGTAATAGCAGAGGCCTAATACTAGAGGTGTAACATCAGAAAGTGTTCTGGTTATTGTAGGGACCAGACTTGTTTTGATGGTTGTGGACCATAGATTGCAGAAACTGCACCTTTCCACTACACACATGGTCTATAATTAATATCTAATGGTTTAATTTCACATTAGCATGCAAATGAAATAATTCACTTTATTTATCTTAGATTAGATTTGTTTAAGTGATGCAACCAAAACTTAGTCAGTCTATAAATGTTCACACTGCTCACCTGCTGAACCGTTCACACGCTTGTTTTTTACATGCTGGACTGCCTGTTTGTCAGCCTGTGGTTAGTCTGTTAACATAACACAGCAGCTCTGTGGTTGTCCAGTTTCCTGTTTCTAATGAAACACCTCAACTGCTCAGGTTTCGCTGCAGGGCTGTAAAAGGGATTTTTAAACTCTGTGTAGGTACAATACATTGACTAAAATATTCATTTTTAAATTATAAATTTTATGTATTAAAAAATAAAAATGTACAGTTCTGTTATTCATACCTATCATCTGTCTTACTTGCACCTCAGATAAGGTGCCTGCACCATCAGCACAAAGCAGCTGTTTCACTGCTAATTTGAATACTGGACACAAAAGCAGTAGCTGAAATGGTTTTGCATCATATTTAAAATATTAAAAGTAGTATAAAAATGACCGTACTGTCTGCAGTGATGTCCTCTGTGTTTTATTGTGCAGAGACTGATCTAGCTGCAGTCTACTCAGCAGTGAGAACTGAAGACGTCAGTTATGGGCAAATCACCATCAAAGAGAAGCAAAGAAAGTCAAAGAAAAGAGGTACAGCTGCTCTTCTTTGTCTTCATCATGGATAAGAATGCGAGGAAGAGTCCAGCAGGTGTTGAGACTCCTGTCTGGATCAGTCTGACACTGTTTACTAATTACTCTTAAGCTAAGCATTTTTATTTAAACAGGGCTGAAGTCATGAAATAATTAACAGGGAAATGCATTAAAGTGCGAGGTCATCACAGTTTTTCCACCCCCAGAAACAAGTGATGCTGACACTTAACCCTTATGAGTTTCACAAAGCTATGTGCATGTATGCTTCAGCTTTATGCAACTTGTGGTTACTGTACACACATGCACAAGTGTGATTTCCCCTCTCATCTATAGAACAGAAAGCTCCAGCAACACTTGAAGCACAGACACCAAATTTATTGTCTGTTCAGACTTGTAAGCCCATCGCCTTATACTTTTTAATCTCTTCTGTTCATCATGAAAGATGCATAATGTGAAGTTATGGCAGAAGCATAGAAAATCACTATTTGCACCAAAAGTTATAAAACCTGTAAATATCTGCAAAGAAGAAGCGCAGCACAGTTTTTGCACTTAGTGTGACGTACACGCATCCCGTGATTTTAGCATGTTTTCATTAAAACAGTGCTGTGATCAGTTGTCTGCTTTAAATATAACCTTTAGTATCACTTCTGTTCTCTTCTTTCTTGACAGTGAAAGTGTTATTCCTATTTACACAATTTAAAAAAGTAAATAATCTAAATAGTTTTTTGTGTTGCTTCTAATGTAATGGTAAGTACCAGTATGACTACTGCACTGATGTCTTCTTTGTGTGTTTTATTGTGCAGAGTGTGATCCAGCTGGAATCTACTCATCAGTGCGAACTGGAGACGTCAGTTATGGACAAATCACCATCAGAGACAAGGAAAACAGATCAAAGACCAGAGGTACAGCTGCTCTTCTTTGTCTCCATCATGTGTTTTTGTCCTTCATAAGGACGATATTTGTTGTAAATATTGAGATGCTATTTGATTATCTGTAGTGGATCCTCTCAGCTGTTACTAACATGTTGCAGCCTGTGTTGGAGGATGGTGAGAGGTCAAGCAAGAAATCCTTCTTTATACATACAGGACAGACGTTACGAATTTCTTTTAGGGACACTAGAGGAGATTCCACCGAAGTGAACACAGTCAGGGATTTTTTGTTGGGATAAATGAGCTGCAGGCTGTATGAGTACCTCAGAAACACCTCTGCTCATATGCATCCAGGCTTGTGTGACACATCCTTGCAACCATTCATGGGGTTTGATAATTTACTCAGACCATCCATCTGTTTTAAAAGTTGAAGGTTTTGAGAGCTTATTGCAGGGCAAACACAGGAAGACAAACTCAAATTCTCATGTATGACCAAGTTAAAATCAACATCTAATTTAACATGCATGTCAGAGGCCACGTGGCAAAACTAAGTAACAGTTCCCTCTAAGCTGAGCGCGTGAGCAATCGCACACTGCTGACACAGTCTCCACACAGAAAACCAGCGGAATTAAAATAAGTACATGTGTTTACTTTAATTTCAATTCAGGCTGGATTTTTTTTGTGCGCAGTGCAGATTTTCTGTGGGGAGACTGTGTCAGCAGTGTGCGATTGCTCACGCGCTCAGCTTAGAGGGAACACTGGAACATTTAACATGTAAGAACTGTGATGAATTGTCCATATCATCACATTTAAAGCAACCCTGCTTTAAAAATGACATCATTAAGTCCTGACACTGAATCAAACTAACAGTGTCTTAGATAAAATGTTTAAATTAACATCATTTCTCACACAAATGCAATGAATTAAATTTATCATTTATGTGTTATTGTATAAAAAAGTCTGAGCATTAAATATATTTGATGGCTCTGAGGTGATTCACAATAACAGGTAACTGGAACCTGGATTGTAGCTCCATCAGAATCAGAATCAGAAAGACCTGAAATATACGACAGAGCAGCATGACGTTGAAGATAAGCAGAGGGCACAAACAGGCAGTAAGAAGCTGCAGAGCTGCTCTGTGTTGTTCATATGGATGTGTTCTGATAAAGTTTGAAGTTCTTTTTTTAGCAGAGTATCACAAAAAAAGGTTGGTCTATATGTCTGAGAGTAAGCTTAAGCATTATACTATAGACTATTACAGTTACAATCTTCATAAAAGCAACATTGTGCATTAACACCTGAATTATAAACATCTATATTTACATATCTATAGCCTCCTCTTTCTGAAATGTTTTTTGAGCCGTGAACGCAGTTAAAGCGTTTCATCAGAAACAGGAAACTGGATGACCACAGAGCTGCAGTAGAGTTTAGCTTAAAAAGTTTTAAAGATTGACTTCTCATCATAGTCCTGATGATAGTGTGTATATGTAGTGATAACGTATTGGTCTATACAGTACTCTGTGGTAAAATGAAACAGGAAAGATGACCACAGGGCCTCTGAAACCTGCTGGCAGGTTCTAAGAAATCTGATCATGATGCTTACTGGGAAATAACTTCTTTTAACACATCCTGTATACTGACAGCACTTTCTATGTTTCACTTCCAGCACTCGTGTCCTGTTAGACACCGTTCCTCATTATGCAATGACATTACATACCTTTTAATTTTTGTAACCTGGCGCATACAGATGCACTCAGGTTGAAGACATGAGATTTATTTTTGTTTTCTTCTGGCTCACCTGAAGCACCAGTAGTGCACCAGTGACAGGCCTGTGGTAACGTCATCGTTAGTGTATGCAACAACAAATATGGTGACTATAAAGTAGAGTTAATAGATTATTGATCCTTATGCAGCCATGAGAAGACCACAGCCAACAAATTCTAAAGTCTGAAGATAAACTGATAGAACTGGAGTGAGATACATTTACTTTTTTCCAGCAGAACTTTTTTAAAAGAAGAATTTCTTGCCAACTGTTGTTTTCACGTGGACACATTTTAATCACGTTTAAAGTGACATCACAATGACGTGAATGTTTCTAGCTCTAGGTTTGAGTCTTGGGTCGCCTTTCAGCCTGGACATTAAGCTCAGCACCAGGACTTTTTCATAATTAGAAATCCGAGGGCTAAATTTGGTCTGTTTTTATTCTTCATCTGGTCATACGATGGTTATTTGCGCCCATCAGGGAATCACAACTTGAGCTTTTACTGAGAAATGTTTATCTCTCATCAGGCTGTGGGTCAGTAGCAGCAGAGGTTTATAGTGATTGTGAGACGTTACCTGTGATGAGGCACATGATCAATAGTGGGTCAGTGAGACAACTCCCACTAGGGATTAAATACTTGGGACTCTCCACAATTTGACTTTAGAACTGAAGAAGAAGAGACGTGAAATGTCCAGAAACGTGATGAAGTCCAGTCGCCTTCTTTCCGAGCTCCTATACAGACACAGAACCACACAGATGGTGTTTTTGGAGCTGTAAGAATTTGGACTGTTTTAACTGGGAACTGAAGGAGCTTTGAACGGGCTAATTGTGTATTTTATCACTTTAACAAGTGTTTTTAAGATAACATGGAACAAAAACAAAGCCTTAATTACAACCTTAAAAAAATTGTAGACCCTGAACAACCAAGACATCAACAATATAGAATTATATTCTTATATAGTTTTTGTAGGAGCAACTTCTTGAGCCACGCCTCTTTTTTAACATTTCATATGAAAGGAAAGAGAAAATAAGAAGTGATTTTCTTGTAATGCATTAAAGTCTTGAGCAATAGTTCTCCAGCATCTCTGAAGACTTAAAGTTTTGTTTTGGCTGCTTTTTCACTCATTTTCATCTTTCATCTAGTTTCCATTTTCAGAGGTACATTTCTCTTTTTGTTAATTTCTTAAGCCACTTAACAATCATTGAAGTACAAAAAAATCACCTAACTTAAGAAATGAACCAGTGTTGTGTTTACACATAAAAGAAACCAAAGCAAAACTATTTTTTTCTAAAAAGCACACATACACACAGCTTGTGTCCCATTGCAGACAAGAAAAAGAAGGAAGACCAACTTTCTTAAATGTCCAGTGAGATTTATTATGCAGTCATCTATATTTATCTATATGTTTATTTTGGTTCATTTCAGCCAGTGGAGAGAAATCTGGAGGTGATGACATCACATACAGTGACCTCAAAATATTACATCATCACCAGCAGCAGCCAACCAACCGGAGCAGAGGTATTGTTTTGTGTGCTGTGTGTCTGTCAGAATAAGGAAGGTCGAGTCAATAAAAAATATCAATAAAAACTAAGGTTAAAGTGATCTCTCTGCTTTCAGCTCAGACAAGCTTCTCATGTATTTGCATCCATCCTTGACATCAATGCCATCTTATGCTATCAACAATTGCTTGTTGTCAAGTTTGCCTCCCATAGAGACTGTAGCATCTTCATTTCACAGGCGTTACTGTTAACAGTGGCTGGAGCTAAGATGCCAGCTGCTTTTACTGATTGTTTGCACGTTGTGGATAAGCCTCTAGTCTTTGGGAGAAGATTACCATGCTAGACAAGCTTCCTCTGGATCTACTTTCACTTGTCCTGAGATCAGCTTGCTTTGTGTGGAAACACAGCTAGGATCAGCAAAAAGAGGAGTTTCTATGTTTATCACAGATATTCTCTTTTTTTGAAAAACTGAAGGGGAACATTAATCTCTAGAATGATCATTTTTAAGGGCAGGGACTTAAACATTTAAGGAATCATTTCCCTTCTACACTAAAAGTGACATTGTGTGGTTGTTACATTTACAAGAGACAAACATGTAATTTGAACACAATGACTTTATGTTTCTATGGTGAACGTAATTAAATCATGTAGGATCTGCTTTCAACAACTTAAAACTAGTTAAATTTATTCATGTATAGCAAGAGTGCGTAACTGCCTGGATTTGCGATATCACAATATCACAATATCACGATATATCACATGCAATTTCAAACACATGCAATTTCAAACACATGCAATTTCAAACACATGCAATTTCAAACACAGAAGACAGAACACACACACACCACATGTATGCTATCTCTAATTATTGTGGCTTAACCTGTCAAGGACAGAAAAGTAAAGAAAATTCGGTATCAATCAGCTTTCCCACTTTTTTTTTTAGTTTGGATTGACAGTTTGATTTTGCAGTGTTTAGCACTGTTGCCTCAAAGCTAGAAGATCCCAAGCTCAAATCCATCATCATGCAAGGCCATTTCTGTGTGGAGTTTAAATAAACATTAAAAAAATCATTGAGTGAATTTCCATGCGGTTAAATTGCTTTATTTGAGCATTATGCAATTCTTTTATTCCAACTTTATGAACCAACTTCATTAACTCATGATGAGTGAACTTGTTTACCTCAGTTGAGTCCAACTGAATTCAGTTGAGTTGACCCAGCCCGTGCAAATTGTGCTTGTCCAATAAAAGTACTTAATAGAAAGACATTTATTAATGTGGAAATCCTTTCCATGATTATTCTAACTTCATTTAAAGAGTCTCGATGCATGCTCAATAATGCAGATAAGTAAAAAGAGTTTAAAGAGTTATTCTTTGGAGTGATCAACAAAGTCAAATTCTGGTTGACATAAAATTGTCATGTGCGTCTTTTTTTCCTCCAGTTTAATGGATTTAGGACACAGCTGTCACTCATCTGTACATCAGGGTTGCAGGAGGCAGGAGTCTATTCCAGCTGTCGTAGGGCCAGAGACACCCTGGTCACCAGTCTATCGCAGAGAGACAGACAACCTTTCACACTCACACATGTGGGCAACTTAGAATCATTAACCTAATCCCACTAACTTGCATGTACCCATGGAGACACAAAGTCCACGCAGAAATGGCCTTGTCTGTTTTGCTGTACGCCAGGGACGACAAGGCTGCTTCTCTGCAACTTTGAGCAGGGGAATGAGTCCTTACTGTCGTCTACTGTTTGGCATTTCGCGGTAAAATGTGTGTTCTTCTTTTAATATTAATCACAAATAACCAGATATAATGGGCGGGTCCTTGTTCTTACTCAGTTAAACTATATCATGGACGTCTGGGTGCTGAACTTTATTGTAACACCCGGGCAAACAGCTGAAAGAATTTGGCCCCAGGATTCAGTCTATAATACTACAAAGGATACAGTTTATTAAAGTGATTGAATCCCTTTCTGTGGGTCTTGGGCAAATTACTTTGCCAAAGGATAATGTTGAAGTTTGGATTTATGCTCATATTTAATGATTTATGAGTCCCATGTTAACGTTCAGTGTGAGCACAGGATGTGGTTTGAACTTAGTGAAGAATTTAAGGGAGGTGAAACTCTAAAAGTTCAGGCAGTCAGGAAGGAAACCACTGCCTGGTTGTTTTGCACTCTTTGGTCAGTTGCAGCCTTTTTGCTGTTATCCACAGAATTCAAGTTTCTGAGCCGCCTGCTGGAAGTTCAGAATTTGTCTTTCTCTGAGTTTGGATAGAACACCTAATAAAAAGATTACCTAAACATGTGAATATGTTTCCAATTTGGATCCTCCAACTTAAATTTTCGTGGCGCTCATCAGTATGTTTTTTTGAAACAGGGAGGCTCTGAGTCGCACTTCCTGGTTGGTCTATTTCACATTATTTGTGACAGTTTGGCTCCAAGACTATTAATGTGAAAATTGAGGCACCATTGATGTGGATTTTTTTAAAATAAATGAGTGAGTTATTTTAACTCTGACTGGTCTCATATTGTTTGAACTGTGTGTTCTTGTGTTTTCAGAGCTTCCATCAAATCCAGATGTTGTCTACTCCTCACTGAAGAAATCTGCAAGTCCAACCTGACAACCAGCTGCTGGTCCACACAGGCCGTCAGACCAGAGGGCTTTCGTTATAAAGCAGATGTGTATGTATTCTGTTTGATCTCTTCATTAAATGCACTCACAGAACTGCAGACGGACAAAGAAAAACTGAATGTGGTGATGAGACGTTTTTGTAAAGAAGCTCAAGTAAATGTATTTTTGTCACACTGCCTCTCTATGTCTGCAAGGCCAAAACAGAAACATTATACTGTATGTATATGCTGTATATTATATAGTCTATAACTGATAAATAAACACAACGCAATGTATTTAAAATAATCAGTAACTTGTGGGACCCTGCTGTCGTCTCCACAGCAGAAACCTTTTTTTTTGTGCAGGATCAATAAACTTTGGTCGGACTTGTTGTTCTTCTCGTGTGGTTCTGTGGGTTTCATGAAGCTCTCTGATGGAAAACATGAGTTGCTGTGGCTAACCCATGCACGTCTCCACAGAGCAGATAGAAAACAACAAATATCAATAAAACCACAACCTCAGACTGAGAGCAGCACTAACATCACTCAGCGGCTGGAAACTTCACACAAAAGCTTGAGAAGCTCGTATGTGTCTGTGTACAGTAAGTTTAGATTCAAGGAAATGAAATATGTGAGACTTTAGATGCTGTTTGAAATAAATACGTCTCCATCAACAGATATTTTTCAGATGCATCTTAGTTACTGTGTTGTTGATATCTGTGGTTGTGCTTGCACAGGACACATAGTGACGACATCTGTCCTCATTCAGTGTGATGATGATGATCTCGGTGTCGATTCAGTCAAAATCGGGGTCAGATTATGCGGCCATAACAAATGCACACTAACATGAATCATGTGTTTCTGAAAGAGAGTAACTTCTACTGATGAAATTAGGAAAGAAATTAATTAGCGTTCATCAAGGTGACGTGTTGTACTAACAATCAGTGCTGCAGTGCATTTAATTGATTTCATTTTAATTTATTTTGAGTTTCTGCAAAATACCAAATACCACTGGGACCCATCATATGACACGTTTTTATTATCAAAAAGGTGAACTAAACCATTCATTCATAATTTAGAATAATCTGGAATGAATCAGGAGAGAAAATCTAAGATTAGCACTGGTTCAGGTGGAAAAGTGAGACTTGCATTTAGCAGCAGTCTGTGTGGAAGCTCGCTTGCATCGCTTGTTGTTGCTTTTTTGTTTGCTTCATTTTTCAAAGCAGCGCCTCGAGTTTGTGTTAGAGTGATTTTTATACAGTGTCTCTCTGGTTACTTCAATCCATGCTTACACACTCCTCAGTAAAACATGAATTTAACTTTGTTCTCAGAAAGGTAGGAAGAGGTTTGAGCTCTACATGTTTGTTATTATAGGTATGAGGATGAGTGTCATCTGTTCAAACCCAAATAATTATCTGTCTGTAGATGTGATCACATCAGTTTTGTGCCTAAACTGTCCCCACGGTCTTTCCGGCCACTTTAATTATATACAATCAATAACTGGTCAGTTTACAGCTGACTGTACGTAGCTGATTCCAGCAGCATCCACAGACAGTAAAAAGCACTAACCACAGCATAAAGCACGGTCTGGTGCTGCCATCTAGTGACACTGAAGAGCTCCAACCACTGATTTTAGGATCATTCTGAGTCACTTTAACTGCCTCGTGTAATTTCGACTTCTTTTTATCTATGTTTAAAAAAACGTATATTACACAGACAGACACATCTATACTACAATCATTGTAATATGATGGTATGGACATTATAGTGTGACTCATTTTAATCTGACATTTCATTCTTTGCTCAACTAGACTGTGAAAAGCACAGATGTTTACAGCATCTGTATAAGATATTTGTATAAGTCAAATAGATGCTGCCACTCACAGTGTCCTATATAATGTTAATGCAAAGTTTCTTTTCTGCATGTCGATGCTGTAGAAAATTCTTCATCTATGTTTCATGTGATGACCAGAGCTAAATATAAATACAGCTTCTTACATATAGGCCTATAGCTTTTCTGCTCCAACTGAGCATTCAAAGCCCCTTTTGGCATATTTGCCATGCAGACTGGAATCGAACCACCGACCTCCACGATTAGCAGTTGACTTTGCTCTACCAGGTCTGGATTGGTTTCAAATTTGCAGTGATGTACATTTAGGTCAATGTTACTGGCCACTTTATTGGGTACACCCCTTCAACTGCATGTTACTAGAAATATTTAATCAGCCAATCACATGGCAGCAAGTCAATGTATTTAGACATGTAGCAGCTTCTTCTCATGCTTTGTGGACTCAGTCTGAGTGAATTTTAACCTGAGTGTTTGTGAAACTTTTTTCCTCTGTTGGATTTAAGGTGTCGGTCACTGTTTACACTGACCTCAGTGTATTTTAAGTTCTTTTCTGGTTTGAGAAAAGCATTGTTTTAACTCTACTTTGACAATGGTGGGAACTAAACAAAACCTTTGTAATTCAATACTTTGTGTTCTTGTGCAACATTTGTATTATTGTAAAAATCGCTGTAACATCAACAGACGAACAAATTACCAACTACTGACCAAAACAGGGTCTTGTGCTGCCAGTGTAGTGACACTGAAGTGCTGACAACTAAGTGAGTCGACTGCAGTTCTCTGTAGAAGTTGGACTCTGACAGAAGAGTAAACAGTAAACAAGTATTAGAATATAAAGCTATTACAGTTACTTTCAACAAAAAGAACATCGTGGGGGTGAAAAGCCTTATTTTTATCATAAGCACATGTCTAACATTTGCACCAAACCTTGAAAATCCAGTCCAGCACTTTAGTGACGTGTGCGATTCACATCATCAAATGTGCTGAAGCTGTGTGATGCTATCAGCTCTATACGGACCTCTGAGGAATATTTCCAGCACCTTGTTGAGTCCATGCCAGGAGGGATTATGTCAGTTCTGAAAGCAAAAAGACGGTTCAATCCAGGACTAACAAAGTGTACCTAAAAATGTGGCCAATGAGTATTTTTCGAAGTCGCAAAAGTATGACGTCACAAGAAGGTGATTGGTTACTTGTAATGTGGACCCTGGAACAACATTAATTATGATGATGTGGGAACAACGCCAACACGAGGATATCAGATCGTCCAAAGACATCAGTCATAGGGCCAGTAGGTGGCAGCAGAGGAGCTTCAGAATGCTCAACAAATGGTGGTTTTCATCTGACCTTTGACCTGTCTCTTGATAATAATGATAACTGTTAATAATAATTTAAAAACTGTCTCACTGTCAACAGCAGATGAGTCTGTTTCTTGTGCATTTTCAGTTCCTGATCCAAAGAGATGAATTGGCTCAGACTGATGATCCAACAGTTTTATTCGTATTCTTTATTCTTTTAATTACGATTACATTTGTGGAACTTTTAGTTTGTTTAATTTTGGCTTTGCTCATCTCTGCTATCTGTTCTGAGGCGAGGGTGATGAGGCATTTGCTCTTCAGGTGGTAGAAGTTTAGAAACTGCTCTTCACAAAGACGCTGAAGACCAAAGGCCTGTAGTATGAAGCAGAATTTTGTCTTATCCAGGTAACTTCAGGATTAACCCTGGATTTTACTGTACTGAATGTTGGTTCATTTTACTCACCTAACCTAACCTTTTCCACAGCAGGTGGTAAAATCAAAACAAACAGAAGGCGAGAAAGAGAAAGAGAAAGAGAGAGAACACACCTCGGCAGAAAGTCAGTGAAAATGGAATGACAGAAGCTGGAGTCTTTTATGTGTTTGTTTTTTCATAATGACTTGTTAACAGTGACCAGAGAGAGACTGACAGAGATAGACACACAGACATGTCACCAGTTGCTACTGACAACTGGTGACAGTTGTCAGTTCTCTAATTCTTGACTGATGGATGTTCATCTTTTTAGAAAAATAAAGTGAAATAATCTCAATAGTTTGTTGGAACTTTTTAAATAATACACTTACCATTCATGGCAGTGTCCTGTTACATGCATACACACAGAGATATAATCATTAAAATATAAGAATGGTCCCTGATGAGTTTTGTTTTGATTCAGGCATGACATCATCATGTTTTTTGAAAAAATAAATATTCAGATGTCAGTTTCTTTAATTTGTGCTGGCCAGACATTGAACTTTGTAAAGATTTGCATATGTGAATTTACATCTGTTTATGATTCATGTACAAGAAATCAGGCACCAGGTGTATTGAGTCACTCAGGTATTCTCCACTTTGCTCATATGGGGTTATCCCATTAGAGTCAGAGTCATGATTGAAGACTGAAGATTTAGTTTTTGTCATTATGTTGCTAGAACATAATAAAAATTACAGTGTTGCTCTCAGTGAAAAAGAAAATGCAGAAAAAGATAAATAAATGAATAAAAAGACTTAAAAAAAGATAAATGCTTAGCATTCTTTAGAGTACAGTAACAGGATGTGAGTGTACGTGCAGGGGTCAATGGGTCTATGTGACGGTGTTTTCACAGGAGCAGAGGGAAGGGTGGGTGGACAGATGGCTTTCACAGATCTTGGGGAAAAGCTGTCCGTCAGCTGGGTGCTGGTGGTCTTTATCACTGTGATTCACCGTGTTAGGTAATGTCTTTGTTTCCATGATGAGTAACACGATACAGACTCTTGCATACAGTTTTACACTTATTGTTCCATATTTATCGATGTGATCATAAAATAGGACACTGTGGACTTTAAGTCAAATTTAAATAATAAAACTGAACTGAATATTAAAACCTGCTCTGACACCATCACACTACTGACTAGTGTTTTGTGTCACCGCTCACATCTGTACCATATGGAGTGAAGGTAAGGGGAGGCAGTTACACTCCCACTAAAAGTCCATTTAAACATCTGTATTGTGAAGTGTTTACAAAGCGTTTTCTTTATGTTATGTAATGTCTGTGAAGTCTTAAGTCTCTAATCAGAGCAGCTCTGCTCTCCCCCAGACTCTGTGATACAGAGATAAGCATGAAAGTTGTATTGATCACAGCTTTTACACATGTACATCTGTTATAGAGACAGGTTAGACATAAACTTGATGGTAGCTTTCTACAGACTACGTGACTTCACCTTAAATCACATCAGAGAAACCTGGCAGATAAACTGCACTTCAGTCATACAAAAAATATGTTC